TCGACCTGTTGCTAGTATATTGCTGCAATGGGATTCTCGTCTCCATTATTAAATAATCCCTTCCCCCCCCACTGTTTAGATTTATTTAGTAATCGAAATAGTAGATTTCGTTTTATATTTTTATTTTTTTTATAATTATTAAGCCGTGCCTCCTGATTTCCGTTTGGTCAGATACCATAATGTGGAATTGTGGGCAAGCAACGATTAAATAATGCTTAATACCAATTTACCTACTGTGTATGTTACCTTTTTCACCAGGCAGACCGTCAGTATGTCTGTTTTGCAATTCTATACCCATTGGCTAGCTCTCAGCAGGTAAACGATTACATTTAGTCACAAAACTCGACGGTATAATTAAGATCGCGTTTCACAAAAAAAAGTCGACTTCAATTGTGACAAAACTAATTAATATAACTAATTTAAAAAAATTATCTACTGAACCGATTTTGATAAAATATCTATGAGACCAATCGCTCAATATATACTTTTAGATAAAAAAAAAAGAATTTTCCAAATCGATTTACAAATAACAGAGTTATGAGGTAATAAACATAAAAAAAATACAACCGACTTGAGAACTCCATTCTTTTTAAAGTCGATTGACAATAATCTTTCTACAGTTTATAGTCACCATATTAATTTTATAGTATCGTCATATGACTTCTAATATTCCTATTAGACTAATCTAATTACATTCCTTTGGCATTCGCCAATAATACCATGATAGGCCAACTGAGTTGATTCCAACCATAAAATTACTGATTTTCTTTTGCCTCAACTTCCACTAATGTGTGCGTATACCATTAAACGCTATACAACTGGCATTACCATTGCATATTCAAGAAAAACTACAAGTGCACGACTACGATTAATTATGTAAGATACAAAAATTCTCATAACGCTTTATGATTATAAAACATTACTTAATTATTCCGTCTGACTTGGCCAGTGCATTTCGCGCGGACCACCGCCGGCCACCGGCAATTTATTTATCAATAGGTATCCCAGTACGAAACGGCGAACTAAACCAGTTTCGTGTTCTTTAATTGGCTGAAACCGTTACAGAATACCAAACCAGCCTACACACACGGCGCACAATGTTGTTATAAACTTATATTTATATCTAAAGAATACCGAGCGTCCATTTACGCTAACCTGACCAATTCGCAATGCCAAACAAGTTCGAAATTCGAATATTTACTTGTGGAACATGGCGGAGCGGCAACGTGGCACGTTCTCGTTCAGCGCGCAGCGCGGCAACGTCGCACCGCCATTTCGCCACCGAGTAAATAAATATCCAACAGCAGAGTCCAAGCTTCAATCATAATGTCACGAGTGGGGAAAAATAACCTAACAATTTTGATTGATTATCACAATACGAGAGGGAAAAATATATGAATATTCTGTTTCATTATTTCTATTAATATCCAAACTTATATATTTTAATTAGTTCAGTTAATTAGTAAATCGATTACCACGGTGTGTTTACGTGCTTGAAGTCGTCCCTGAACCTGATATCTAAGCGTTACCGCCAAATAACGTAACCAAATGTTATTTGATTGACGATCTTCTGTAAAGACAAAGAGTAGAGGTATTTCTGCGAGAACATTTGACCTTTGTTTTTGTAACATTTTATGTATTCATAAGATTATTTATAAGTAACTAATGTTAAAAGAAATAAAATACAAATTTTTAAATTTTATTTCACTCGACTTGTAACTAAGTAATGATTTATGTAAAACGTGCGTGTTTTACAAGCATTTTGTAATGGAATTGTGAACTTTTTTAAATAAATATATACACATTCATCACGCCTATATCTATTGATGTCTTCATTTTTTTTTTCAATTATATTTCTGGGACTTTTTATAACATAATACAACACGGTGATATGTCGCTAGCAGTACTTAAGACAAAAGTCGATTGCTTGAGTACCTCTATCCCATTCGTGTTTCAACCGTGAAGCAGCTGTGTTTGCATGGCTGTGTTTCGGTTTGAAGGGTGGGATATGGCGTGAATTTACTGGGTACAGAGGAATAACAACTAAGTCCTCAGGAATGGCAACGCATGGGGAGTATCATGGGCGAAACAGTATACCCTGTTATGTCCATGGTACAGCTCATGTCTATAGACGACGGTTACCACTTCCCATCAGGTGGACTGTCAGCTTGTTGGCCATTCTAAGTTGTATAAAAAAAAATATGATGACGATGATGGTAGTTAAATAAACTCTGATTAAGGGATTTTCAGAAAATTATTCTCAGAAATTAATTTTTTTGAGTAAAAGTGTGTGTACTAACAAGAACTCTCACTGGACACTGCAAACTAAACAAGCACATGGCTCGAATAGGATTATGCCCAAAAATTATTCGCAGATTTTGTCACAGTGAGGAAGAAACGCCGCAGCACTGAATGTGTCGCTGTAGCCCACACATACATAAACGATATATCTCATTGGGAAAACACACTCTGTATCCTGAGGGATAAAAAACATCTTAAAAAATCTTCCTTTAAAAAAACGAGCACGAAAGATCATGAAAAGGTCGCAGTGTCACAGGTTTTTCTGTCTGAAAATAGTTGGTCTTTCAATAATAATAATAATAATAGTCAAAATAAACTTCTAGAGAGTTCTAACTGAGAATCAAATGGGGTCAAGTAATTTTAACCCGTATCTGATAGCTATTTAAGTCTGTAAATTGGTGGCCTTCCATAAATACGAACGGTCACCGCTGTCTAGACTCCGCCGAGAGCTGAATTATTGAAAATGTTCAATATTCCTCAATCTGCAGTTGGACACCCTTCGTTTGACAGTGGTAAAAATAACTTCCGCAGTAGGCATGGGCAATGCGGATACCGATTCGATATCTACATATATATTGGGTTTCTCTAGACATTAATGGTAGAAAACAGTTCATTATTTATTTCGATATCGTCCATATCGGTCCGTGTTAAAAGCTTTTTATACAATATGATATTTTTAGATAACAGATTTTGAATGACATGTGCATGGTGTTAGTCGATTATGTAGGGGGAAAGGGATTGTTAGTAATTGGGGTCTGGTATACCCCATGGTAACTGGGTATCAGGTCGACCTCCACGCGGTTCGCCCTGGAAACCACCGTGGTTACTTCTCGTGGAATTCTTCACGATGGGCTAACTGACCTGCTTTCATCGTCATCTATCGTCTATCACTGGTGCCCCGCCAGCGTATACCGTTAGCACAGGCGGGGTTACTATTGCATTATCACCTATTAAAAAAAAAACATTCGGGATTTGAATTTCGAACGTATCGACGCGACGTTCAACCCCACTCGAGAGTTCGAGAGTTCGAGAGTCGAATATCAATATTAGCCTACCGAGCCGTTGTATGGTATTTTTATTGTAGGCCATACGGTCGCACGGAGACCGATATATTTCGGGCATCGAACTGGCCTCGTTGGACTTCAGTGTTAATGAAAAATCGATCAATGGCAGACCAATGGACCGAATTACCTAGCTGTTGCAGGCGTTCCATACGGTTTTATTTATATATTTATCTATATATATATTTTTTATGGGATAATAGAATAGTAACCTCGCCTGTGCTGTCAATATATGACAGCGGGGCACCAGTGGGAGATGATAAATGAGAATGAAGTCAGATCAGTCGGTTCATCATAAGGGTTTTTTTTTTAATGAATGTGAATGGAATGGTATCTCGTCCGCGCCGTCGGTATACAGTGGCGGGGCACCAGTGAGGGATGATAGGTGAAGATAAAGCAGGTCAGTTGGCCTATCGTGATGAATTCATCAAAAATTAATTACGACGGTTTTAAGTGGGAACCGCATGGAGGTCGACCTGTGACGAATTGACCAGGAATTAAGAAGGATGAATTCTATAATCGCATATACATATGTTAACTTGATAGAACCGTTGATCCTGATATTAAGGGTGGAGGGAGAGGGGACTGTTAATAATAGGTATCACAATAGTATCCGAAGAAGTACGTGAGAAGGTAGCATCCGCATTTCTAGCAATACCACATCAGGTCGACCTCCACGCGGTTCCCCTGGAAACCATCATGGTTATTGTATATATTATTTTTAATTATTCATGATGAGTCAATTGAGCTGCTTTCATGCTCACCTATCATCTCTCACTGGTGTCCCGCCAGAATAAACCACTAGCGCAGGCGGGATTACCATTACATCTTCACCCATTTAAAAAAAAGACAGTCTAAATCATTAGCAATGGAGCTGTTAATCCCATTACTGAATATCCCTTTCCCCCATTTATGGCTTCGTCAACCATTATCAGTGTCACAGAAACCATAAACCTTGTACAGGACTCACACTTGGATAGTAAGAAACTGTCGTACAAGCCAGTTCACACAGGTAAGAAATGTTTTTTGTGTGTACGCCGCGTGTTAATACGACCGGTTCTCGACATAGTACTAGCCGCGCCCAGCCTGCCCAGGCGGTACAGACCACTGCTATAAGCAGACAGATAACGGCACGGAATTTTAGAGCGTCTAGGTATGCATAGAATAATTTATACACAATACAGGATATAGACAGGACAGGTGGACAGATCACTGGTGATATGGCGATGATGAATACAGGATACAAAGGAAAATTAGCATGTTTTTAAGAGAATTTTCGACATGTATAATTAAATATTATTGCTAGAGAGATATACTTTAAGTCGATAAAAAAAGCAGTCATGTTAGTACGGAAAATACATTTTTTTTTTTACTTATTTAATAACTTATTAATGTTTTTTTTTTTAAAGAATTTTCGATCTGTATCATTAAATATTATTTCCAGAGAGATATATATATAACTTTAAGCCGATAAAAAAAGCAGTCAGGTTAGTAAGGACAACTAAATTTTTTTTAATATATTTCATAGCATGTTTTTAAGAGAAATTTCGACCTGTATTATGAAATATTATTTTTAAAGAGATATACTTTAAGTCGATTAAAAAAAAGCAGTCATGTTTAGTACGGAAAATTCAATTTTTACTTTTTTCAAACCATAACAGTGCTTTTTCTTCTAAATCTTTTGATATCAAGGGCAAGTATCAGGGAAAATACTTAATTTTAAATATACAGAACTAATTTCCGTGTGGTCCCGGAACAGAATAGGCTACCGCTTCCTTTCCCGTGGATGTCGTAAGAAGCTTAAACTCTCTTTTTAAACATCTCCAAAGCCTAACTACAATTGCAAAACAACTACCAGCAAAACCCTTTCTTATGGGGTAGGCCTATGTCCAGCAGTGGACAGTTAACGGCTGACATGATGATGACGATGATAATGAGAACTTATTCCGCTACTGAAAGCAGTTTAAATAGTGACTTTATTATGAGAACAATACGGGAGATGGGAAAAAAAAAGATTAATTCAGCATTTTTAAATGACGTAATATAATAATAATACAGAGTACAATAGTACAGAGGAATAACACCTGAGTCCTCAGGAATGGAAACGCATGGGGGGTATCACGGGCGAAACAGTATACTCTGTTATGTCCATGGTACTGCTCATGTCTATAGGCGACGGTTACCACTCTCCATCGGGTGGGCCGTCAGCTTGTTTGCCATTCTAAGTTGTATAAAAAAATTTAAATACATGTGTTATGTTAATTTCATTTTTTAGAGCTGGTTATAGATTATATTTATATTCTTATACTCAGCATGGAAAATATTATAGAGGATTATATAGATTTTATACAGGAGTTTCTCGAGAATATTTATTATTAATATTACATTGATTACCTTTAAATTTAATAATTTTAAAGGTAGATTGATGTGTTAACACAATGTTCAGTGACTGTAATCTAAAGAATATTAATATATCATGTTTTATTTTTAATTTAAATCGAGTAATTTCAATTATTGTAGTAATTTTTAATAATCTGATGCCATTTAATTGTTTAATAATTTAATTCTATTTTAATATTTTTTAAACAGAAACCATGCTATGGTTTTTTATTGGTAGAAAATGGTATGGTAACCCCGCCTGCGCTAACGGGATACGCTGGCGGAGCACCAGTTAAGGGTGATAGATGAGAATGAAAACAGGCCAGTTAGCCCATCATGATGAATTCATCAGGAATTAATTATGATAGTTTCCAGGGGGAACCGCGAGAGGGTCGAACTGGTTGGGTATATTGCTAGCAATGGGATTCTCAATCTCCATTACTAACAATCCCTTTCCCCCCGAACCATGCTGTGGTTAGCTCTACATGTAAGAACAGTTATCCGTAATCCACTAGTGTAATGTATTGAAATGTTACTTATGTTGGTGATCCTAAATAAATAAATAAATAATCTATCTTGGCATGTAACTAACTGCGAGCGTGTCGTGATCATTTTGTTTTTTCTTTTTACACGTGGCTCGTCGGACGGCCGAAAGCGCCAGCGCGGCTTGCCAATAACGTATGCAAGTTCGCGTTTGCCAAATGGCACGTCATATTACGTACTTCGAGTCGTGGAGTTCAAATTTAATTTTGACCGACTAATTAAAAACTACTTTAGTATCCAAAATAATCTTTTTGATGTTTTAAGGTGTTATAAATAGGTTCATATTTGCAGCTAGCTCGTTTCCCAC